ACTTCCGGAAAATATCGTCAGGTGGAAAGCGTGGTGATCCCTTATGGCAGCATCATCTTTGCCTGTTTTCAGGTATTACCATCCCCGTCGTCGGTGGTCTCGATCTCTTTAGGTGGAACTTCGTCTTTGAGTGGATCTTCGGTGTTCGAGAAAAAGGCCAGATCCGCTCCGTGTTCACCGGCTTCCAATGCCAATATTACGAAGAGGCCGAGATCTCCGGGTTCCCTGTCTCCACTTCCAAGGTTATGTCATCTCGACACGGCAAACCCTCCCATGCCTTCTCAAGAAGTCTTTGAATTCGGTGGTGATGCCAATCGATCGAAAAAACGTCAACGACAACAAACTTCCGAACATTCCACACCAGACAACTCCATGTCGGTGAAAATATCCTCTCCGTCCCGAGAATTGCTCGCATATCGTGAATACTCGCAATATCAATTTCAGTCGCCACCGCAATCCAAAGAACAACACACCATACCCGATTTAACTCAACAGCAACACGCATACTATGCATCTCATGGCTCGCAGCAACCGTCATCGACTCACTTCATGCCAAACTATTCACAAGGTAATAATAATAATCATAACCCGAATCAGCGCAATTCTGCATCGTTGCCGCCACTGTCGTCACAACCACCCTCCTCATCACAAGCTGATCCAATCCAACCTCAGGTGTTCACCCAATTTGCTCCACAACAACGTAGAAATCCTAACGTGGTCCATGGCAAGAAATGCGAGAGTTGCCACACCAGCTCCAGTCCCGAGTGGAGAAGGGGGCCGACCGGTCACAAGACGTAAGCATACTCACCGTTGATCAATTCAACCGATGTGATTTCTGACATACGCATATTTTTTTTTCATGTAGTCTCTGCAACGCATGCGGGTTAAGATATTCGCGTACGATCGCGCGTGAAAATCGTAAACGCGAACAAGCTCAGCGTGAACAAGAGCAACGTTTTCGCGAGCAACGAGAACGCGAGGAGCGCGCTCGAGAAAAAGCTGAGGCCATGATGATGCAGAGGACCATCGAACCCTTTGGTCAGTACAGGCCCAGTAA